AATATACAAGTTCATGGCAGAATTTTGTGTATTGGCGGGCATACTCGTCATGCGTATAAAGCAGTGGCTATATACCATTTAAATTAAATTTTTTGAAAAAAAACAAAATATATTGTGAAAATTCTTTAAAATATTTCAGAAGCTGTGTTATTTCACCTTAGTATGAATTGAGATTTTTCTATTTAAATACATAAAGCATTTTACACTGTTTATTTTGATAAGTTTTTAATTTTGATCAAAACTATTCTTAAAAACTCACTTCTACTTGAATAATTAAATTTAATCGGTTTTTAGTTTAATACGTATATAATAAATGCTTGTATTCACAAAGACGCAAAATGTAGTAAGAAGATTTTTCAATTTGTCTCTTAGAACAGCATGTCGCCTCCCTGAGGGGACGCATCTCACTGGTTGGAAACCGCTGGGTTAACTGATTATTTATTTGTACTTATTTATTAGTACATTCGTATATATTAACAAGAAACACATTAATTTCATAAAATAAATACCATAAAATGTTGATATTAGTTTCAGAAAATTATCAATTTCAAACGTTTTTTATTTAATTCTAAAAATGAAATATTTATTGTTCTTGCTGCTACAAATCCTGATGTTAGTTAATATTTTTTTTGTTATTTAATTTGTCTCAATAATTATAAAAATACATTTCAAATTCTTGAGTATACATGTGCATTAAATTGATATTGCACGGAGGAGCAATGACGTTAGTAAACTCAAAACAAGTCATTCTAATACATCAAAAATATTTTAGTTGGTTTCTGCAAGTAATGTCATTATCTTAATGTTAGAAAGTTTGCATATGATAGATGTCAACAATTTTTATTCAACGTAATATTTTCTTACGTGTTTGTGTTGAATCCGCGCTGATATTTGGAATTGTTCGTAGTCATTCTTTGAGGAAATTATTTTTGATACACCATATAGGGTAAACTTACAATAGATGTTTAAATAAATTAAAGAAAAAGATAAAAAATGTCAGTTATTAAAATTTAATGGACTTTTTTTCGAAAATTTTCGGAATTTTAATCTTTGAAATAATGGACTATCAAATATGTACTTGTGAGATAGGACGCTCTTCCTAACTTCATTATTTAATCTCTCGTGAGTGATGCTCAGGATCTTTTCAATATTTTGCCGCTCTGATTCCGCGGCTTCAGCAATACTTTGATAATGATCCTGTTTTATATAGAATTGATATTATTATATTATGACACAAATTTACATTTTTTGATCGATACTATTCCAAAAAATATTATTACTATTTTTAATTCATTGTGAATAAATTTTTAAGAAACTTTTTGTAATTTGTAATTTTTACATTATTCTTTGAAATTGTCAAGAAATTTTGGAACCACCATCGTTCAACTGTATTCGATTTTGGTAGATGGTTTTTAGAAGAAAATTTGTAAATTTTATCTGTTTTCGTCATACGTTTAAAATTGTTGGGTTTAAATACTAAATATATAAGTTATATCTCTATTTAATAAGTTCATTCAATTTTATAGGATATTTACATTAGGCGCGTTTTTGTCTTGATCTGGGACGTGTCTGCGTTGACAGTCACTGGTGCTAGCATTTTCCTGAGAAGAAGACTTCTGTCCTTTGTTGTCTTGTTTTAATGTATTGAGTTCTGCCTAAATACATGGATAATGCAAAAATATGCATATTGAAAAACAACTATTTTTTTTTGAGGTTTGTAAAAGATAGTTTGAATTATAATAATCTACACAATATTTACAAATACAAATATTTTAAAAAAAATATCTTATATATAACAATATAAAAAAAATAATCGTGTATTACCTCTAAGTCTGCTATTTTGCTGGTCAACTGGTCACATTCAAGAGACTTTCCCTCAATTCTAAGAATGTTTTTTTGCTACTTGACTGATATTAAGCTGGAAATGTAAATAATATAAAATTTAATAATAGTGTTAAATCTGAAAATAATAGTAAATAAATTGATATAAGATGCATTATAAATAACAAATTTGTCTATAAAACAGTTTTATCATAATGTTTAGGGCGACATTTTGAATTGATGTAAAGATGTCGGAAAGTAATATCGTTGCGGCTTGATCGTCACACTTGTTTTGTACAGAAAAATTGTAGCAAAAAGATTTTAAGGTTGTGTTGTTATATGTAAATTTCTTTATTATTAACGATTTTTGAAAAAAAAAAACAGATAATTTTCAATCAAACTTTCGACTAATTAAGGGTTATATAAATTATAAAGATCAAAAATAGTAGCCATCAGCGTGCATATGGCGAAAGCGAAAGTAAGTCTATTTTATGCAATCGACAAGTCCAAAAGTTTTTATTAATTTTGAACTATTGTCCAATAACATTTACCGCAGTGAAGGATTTTAGCCGAAGTTGAATTGGATTCTGCCGAGCGAAAATAAAAACTAACCGTAACCGTTTTTGGGGTTTGCAATTATTTCACAGGTCCACAAAAAAATGCCTGATTGGGAGTCCGGCATATGTTTTTTCAATGTAGTTTTTACAGCTGAACACGAATCAAAACACAAATTTGAAGTTAAATGGGAAACAATGAAAGGAAAAAAAATTAAAAACAAACGACAGAATCACCGATCTAGTAATTTTACTGCAGATTTTTTACAAAACAAACTTGTGATAGATCATTTAATTGAAACTTTTAAAGTTGAAAGGGTCAGGAAACGACAGAAATTATAATGGAGAGTAATTACTATATCAAGGATTTGGTCGTTATTTTGATTTTTTTCAATTTTTTGACATTTGACTCCCCAGTTTTTGACTTGAGATTCGTAATCAGCGGTGAAAACTACATTGGAAAACATATGCTCACACCGAATACAGATAATTTTTTTTCTGTGTTATAGTTTGCGTTGATTTATATAAAGCACTAGCAAATCCGACGAACTCTGTTTCGCCACCAGATGCTTTCGTGAGAAAGATGAAGAAATTTTTTGTTTGTTTTATATTTGAAAAGGAAAAAAATGATTTTATTATACAACAGTAATGAATTTATTTCGATTACAAAAATGAAGTGTTTTTAGTTGAACTTCTCTAAGTAAATGAAAGTGAATCCGCAAATTATCCGTTTCATTGAAGTGCTCTTTGGTAAACCACATTTTTTGTTTTTTGGTTTGGTTAACACAAACAAAGCGGATGGTTTTCCAACTCATAAACAGGCAACGTATAACTGCCCATGTGAAAAACAATGATTTTCTAAATAATCTATTTGAAATTTATCCCGCAAACACTAAGCTATTGGCCTTGCGACTTGTTATTGCGAACGCAAGGAAATTGCAATCGTTTTGAAGTCAAACGGAAGACCAGTCGGAATCATTGGTATGTCACCAAATCGCCAGCAATTTTTTATTGAATGGTGAAATTCAGTACGTGTACATCATTATTCTTTGCGGCAGGAATTGCTCGTTGACTTAACCAAGTATAATTCTGATAATTGTCACTAATGTCATTACTCGAATTTTTAATTACTGTGCGTGAAGTTCCAGCAGCTTGCATTAAGGCATGATACCATGCACTACTTATTTTCTTAGCTATAAACCTTGCGGAGCCCGAGACCTTTCCAACGAATGCAAAATTGTCGAAATCGGTTCGTGCGTTCTGGAGTTATTTCGTCAGGAAGGAAACCCCGACTTATTTTTATATATATAGAAAATAATCTATTTGAAATTATTTAAAACAATTGTTGATTATTTTTATTACTCGAATTTTTAATTACGGTGCGTGAAGATCCAGCAATTGCATTAGGGCACGATGCCATGCACCACCAATTTTCTTAGCTATAAACCTCGCGGAGCCCGAGACCTTTCCAACGAATGCAAAATTGTCGAAATCGGTTCGTGCGTTCTGGAGTTATTTCGTCAGGAAGGAAAACCCTACTTATTTTTATATATATATAGAAGATTACTTAGGAACAATTCGATTTTCTTAAAAATAAGTATGTTACCGAAATTTTAATTGATTCGTTTAACGATCTTTTAGATGTGACCATTTCAAATGAGAGCTGACTAGAAATATCAAACTTTATTGGTTTTTTATATATTTATATATGATTCATAATCATTTGATGTTTTTACAAGTTAGGTACTACGATAGACGTTGATAAATAGTGAAATAAAATTTTCTCCTTTTCGAACTTACTTGTATAGCATGGATGTATTGATTGTCATTGGAGGCCTTTTCGAGCAGTGTTTTAACGCGCTTCTTGCGGGTGTCATTTTCGCTTTCGAGAGTTCGGCAACGCGCCTTGAGTGCGTTGATAATCTGGTCTTTACCGTCGAGATCCGCTCGAGCTGCCGCAAGTTCTTTGGCTGTGTTTTCCTGCACAGTCCTTCGTTGCTGTTCAATGTGACGTAGCGTAGACACGCATGCTTGTTCTATTCGATGATAAATTATTATTAATCCGAATAAAACTTTACGATAAAAACAGGGCCTAACAACGTCTTCGATTTGGCTCATCGCTATATAAAAGAAATAATTATATGCCATACTAAATATTTCGCTGGCAACGCTTGACAATTTATATTTTTAGTAATAATTCTTACTCAGTGGTGTTGTCGAGCCGGAACGCGCCGGAACGTTGTTCCGGCAAATCATTTTTGGGACGGAACGCGTTCCGGCAAGAAAAAATATAAAAAATCGCTACATACAGAAAATGATTTAATAAGTAAAGATTAATAAGTGAGCACAGGATGCATGTGCAAATCATATAATTTTTCCATATATTTCCATAGCTTAGGTAAATACGCATCCCTTTTTAGGTCTAATGCAAACTTTCTCAATATTACGGATTATAGAAAAATTCCAAATTCTGTATGTATTAGTCTGTATATTTATAAATTGCCATCTCTTCCAGACAGCGGTATAATAATTTTTATATTATATTTTTAAATTTAGAATTTTTAGAATTAATTAAGTTGCGAGACTAAGAACATCTTAAGAAAATCAGCTCGCACAAGTTACTCAAACATTTAATAAAATTTATAATTCTATGTCTATTGTCGTACAGTGCACACAATCGTTTAAAAGTGCAGTAATTAATTTTCTATAAAGTGATAACGGCAAAGGCAGCAGTAAGGTGTAATCGATGCTTTAACGGATATTTTGGTATTTTAGGTATTTAATACCGAGATAAAAATTCTTAAAGAAAAAATAATATTTATAAATTAAATCTTATATTCATTCGCATTTCTTATACGCTAACATCTACATCATAGGTTCCTACTCGTGTATTTTTACAGCCTTACGTATGCCTATACGTTGCATTCTATACTACACGCCTTACATCTATACCATACGCTATATTTCATCATATACTCTCAAATCCCTACATTGTATACCGAATACACCTAACCTATATCTACTATATATCCTATTACCTATAATTTCCCTTACACACACTATATTAACCCTACCGAGAATCGAACCCGGGTCCGCCGCGTGACACGCGACAACCTTGACCACTACACCAGCGTAACGCTACAATCAACCGACTTTTTTTGCGTGTCGTCGCGCCACCTTAGTATTAATTATCTAATTAATTACAAAATGACCCGCGGTAACAACAGTGCGTCCCATATTATATTATTGGTGGGGATACCCGATAGGGTAGTGGCTAAGGCGCGCGACTGCCACGCGGAGGTCTCGGGTTCAAATCCCGGTATAGACAATAGAGATAATAAAAAAAATACATAGGGCGTAAGATAAAACCTATATAATATAGGTGAATATATAAATTAGACAGTAGAATTTATAAGTAAAAGGTATGTAGGTATATAATAAGTTAGTTAATGACGGTATAGGTATCTCACGGTATGATACAATAATGTGGTATAGTATGATAGGTAATAGGTTATCTATCATATTATTAATAGAATATATAAATTAGACAGTAGTATTTATAAGAGTATAGTAAGAGTATCTATCTCACGGTATGATAGATAATAGATATCTATATATGATGTACAATAATATAGTATAGTATGATAGGTAATAGGTTATCTATCATATTATTAGGTTAAGTCTTATAAAGTATTGTAATAAATCTTGAGTACTATTATATCATAATATATACCTGTAGGTATTAATAATGAATACAAATAATACCAAAATAAATATAATTAATGTCATTGAAGAATATAAATTATGTACTCAATGATTCCCTCATACTTGTACAATTTAATGTATAGACTAGCTGTATATAATAGAGTTAATTATATAAGAAGTCAATATATTAGATTTGTGAGTTCTTATCGAAATATATCAAATTTTATGAACCGGATTTTAAATTTTAGCGTTCCGGCAAAAAAAATATTAGCACAACACCATTGTTCTTACTAAAGCATAAGAGTCATAAGTTTCATGTTAATATTCGTATCGTATCGATGTAGTGACTTTTTTTAAATATAATAACAATATTTTCATATTCTATCAAAAAAAAAACATATATGGCTTTTTTTACATTTTTGTGGAAAATATAAGATTTGTGTGACTCTCATTATATTTAGGCTAATATTTCAATTGAAAATGAGAATATTAGCCTAAATATAATGAGAGTCACACAAATCTTATATTTTCCACAAAAATGTAAAAGAAGCCATATATGTTTTTAAAATAATTTTAGCCATATATATGATGATCAGAAAGTTTGTATTCAAGCTGTATGTGTAATTCAGTTCTGAGCTGACGGGAAAAACATTTTTAAAGGTGTCCTTTGTTTCGTAGCAGTTTTGATCAAAATAACAATTAAATAACGTATACTTAAAAATTATATTAAGGTCTCGTAAACTGAACAATAGTGCTCACAACCAAAAAAACTAACAACGAAAAAAATAACTTTTGTTATGGATTTTCAAACATTGCCGTTTATCTCGTGATAGCGACTTCGAAAATTTCATTTACAAGTAATGCGATTCTTTTTGGAATACCTGTAGCAGTAGTTTGGCCGCACTTATGCTGTAGATCAGATATTTTATTTTGAAGGGCGATAATTTGTTGGGCTCGCCCACGCCAGGTCGAAGGTAGTGTGGGCGTGTTTCCCTGCATAATGAGTCCGTCGCCAACTTCCTGCTGCAGAAGACGCTGGGTTTGTTTTAATTCGGCCCTGAGAGCCAGGTTCTGATTGCGGGTTTCAAACATACGCTGCTTTGCTAAACTAACTTGCTCGCGTAACGTCGCCACTTCAGCCTTGACATTTTAATATCGAAAATTAATTATGTAGTAATTAAATGTGTAGTATAGTTATTTTTCAAAATTTGAATGTGTCTGTTCAAAAATTCTTTCTCTATCGTCACCAAATATAAATGATTTTATATTTATTTGCAATCATGCAGATCCGTTTTAATTCGATCTAATTGCTCTAATTTATTTTTAAATATTAATGAATGTCAAAAATCTAATTAGGTTGCGGTATAAATTTAAAATAAGTTTTTATTACTTTATACAATTTGCAGTAATATTTAATATTTTATTTTATTCAATAACTTTAATTTAAACTTAAAATAAATTGATGTTTATGTATGTATGTATGTGTGTGTATGTGCGGATAAAATTTTTCGTCGACATTTCGACGTGCTAATTAATTTTTGTCCAGCCGTTCCGAAAATACGTGGCAAAAATCCCAAAAATTGCAATTTAATTTCTGAGAGAACGGAGCGCCAGATTTGAATGATTCGAAACACATTTTTTCTTTTATGAACAGAATTTTCAAAAATTTTCAAAACGATCAAACAGAATCCTAAACTAAAATATCTGGCAATTTGGTATGCTTCCTCCAATTGGCATTTTTTCAACTTCAGGAAGGCTAAGTTATAATAATCCAAAAAAATCGTAAATAAAATTGTTTATATATCTCTACGCTCAAGATCTCCTGAACATTTTCACATACCTTAGAAAAAATGGATGTATGCATTTGTTTGTGCGGTTACAATTTTTTGCCAATTAACATTCGATTTATAATATCGGAAATACGTGCTGATTAGTTTTTTGCATTCATTTCGGAATAGAGGGCAAAGAGTTAAAAAAATGCCAATTCAATTTTACAAAAACGGAGCATCCGATTTGAATAATTCAAGACACATTTTACTTGTATGACAAAATAAAGAACTATTGGAATGACTCAAAAACTATTTTGTTTGTGGTATTTTAATGGTATGAAGAAATAATTATTTTTTCGAAAAGGCAAGTATACTGGTTTCAAAATTTTGAGAAAATTGAAATACCTAAAATTTTCAAATAATCGAATTATTTTAAAATTAAAAAAACACGAAATTTCTGAATATCTCGGTTCTATTTATCGAGTTTAGTTCAATGACTTTTTAATTTATGAAATCTGTTCAGGCGTTTTTGAAAATTAAATTTTGATTAATCACATCACAAAAGCGACTTTTAACACAAATTTTGACTATGAAATTTTATCAAACTTTGATGAATTTTTAATATTGTCAAATCTTTTGACTCCTAAATGATATATTTCAGAAATCTTTTTTCAGAAATCGGTTTCTGGCTTTATTCCAAAAACGTAATAATTTTGCTTTTTTATACTAATTTTAAACAACCGGCTTGGCCGATCGTCTCGCAAACGTAATCTCCCGGTTTTTACCAAAAACTAATGAATACGATTTCCAACCAAGATCTTTCGAATGGTTTTTGAATTTTTTAAATCGACTTACGAATGTGGGCTAAAACGTTGACGAATTTTTTCTTTATTCTGCTAATTACAAAAAACGGCTTGGTCGACCGATAAATTTGAATCCCCAAAAATTAAGGTAATTATTTATTCCGTTAATATAAGTAATTTTTTTTTAATTATTCTGAAACCAGTCTCTCGGTTCTTTCGAAAACCGAATTGCAATTTTTGCATTTTTGTTCTGCATTTTCCAAACGGCTAGACCTGTCCTTGCCAAAAACTAATCAGAACTTTCTTATTATGGAAATAAAATATTTATATATACACACACATCAATTTTTTTAACGTAAACGTAAAAATATGCAAAAAAAAAAGATTTTTTGCGATTACTATAACTTACGAGTACTTTGCGCAAAGTTAAAAATTGCATTTAAGTAATTTAAAATAAAATTATGGTTTAATTAAAAAAGTAAAAATTTGTCTATTAAAAAGGGCGCCTGATCAGATAGGGCCTAAAGCGGCAGAAAGCTTAATCCGCCACTGTATAAACATACGTTGTTTGTAGAATACGTCAGTTTCCCAATTTTATAAACACTTTAATATATAATAATACATTTACAATATTTAAAATAATCTATTTAAAAATATTGAAAACAGTTGTAAATAATCGTTGATCATTTTTGTTGATTATAGATTATATTATATTATAAATATTTGTTTTTATTATTTGAATGTTCAATTATGATACGGGAACTCTCAGCAATTTGTCTGATACCATGCCATGCACAACTTTTAACAATTTTAAATCTCTAAAATAGAAATTTTCCGCAGTATACCTCAAGGTTAAATAACTATTTTATATTCTTTATTGCAAGCATGTAATAAGAAAATGGTAGAGTTATTACCTAAGAATACAATTGATTATATCGATGTGATAGTTGTTAACATCCTACCTGTAAATTACGTATGATGGCTTCTTGTTGTGCCGCATCGACCGAAGCTGGCGGATCGGGCGCAGGCGGTGGTGCTGCTCTGCTTTGGCTTTCCTCGAGTCGTGCTTGGACGCTGGAGTATCGCATTTTCGTGGATTCCAGTTCGGCATGAAGGTTTCTATTCTTTTTACTCAACTCTACGAGTTTAGCGCTCGCAATATCAGAACCTGAAACAGATCATAAGTAAATTTGTTAAAACTAGTCTACTTCGAGGAAAACTTAATTTATCTTTTTATTTTGCGTGTATTTTCGAAATAATTAACAAGTATTCGATTTTTACGAATATAATAAAACTGACAAAAAACCTTCAAGATAGGAAAATATGATGGTACTCGTGGTTATATATATAACAATAAATGATTTTTTAGGTCCAAGTATATATATTTTGTTGGATGGTTGTACGATGTATTCGTGTATTGATATGTTGGTATATCTATAAAATAGTTTGTATATTATGCAAATTAACAAAATTAATTATTGTGTGCCACCTATTCGCTGTGTAATTCATAATTGTCTTCTCTGACAAGTAAGCAGTAGCTTAATTCATTATCAACAGATATCTTAAGAAAAGTTTATGATTTCGCCAAAAAATCCGATTGGCTAATTTTATGTTTTCTCGGCATATCAAGTAATTCTAAATCAAACTGCAATTGGAAAAAGTATACATGTGTGTGCAAGCTGATTAGATTTTGGTAAAGACACACGGTTCTTCTCTTTTTTAACGACTTTAATAAAGCTTTGAATTAAATTAAATCGTCAAAAAATAGAAAAGAATCGCCCGTTTTTACCAAAATCTAATCAGCTCATCACTTGCATACACATGTATACTTTTTCCAATTATAGCCAAATGATTTGTAATGACTTGATACGCCAACAAAACATAAAATAAGCCAATCGGATTTTTTGGCGAAAACATAACTTTTGTTAAGATATCAATTGATGATGAAGTAAGCTACTGGCTACTTTTGCAGAATGATTTTATGATCTAACTAATCGAACATTCTAAAATACTCTAGACCTAGAAATAGTTATATAAATATAAAATTGCATTAATGCTTGAAATAATGGGCCATTCTCTTAGGACATCCACTGTGTATACCTATTTCATTTTGTGTTTTATACTGAACATCGTTGAATAACAGAATGAATTAAATAAATTACTTCTTACAGTTACAATTATTGTATGCTTGCTTGAAAGATGTAATTTAGAAATTGCATTGATTACTTTTTAATTGAAAACGAAAACTTAATTTTGGTATTATATAAACAGTTAAATATTATATAGTAATAATTTTAATAGTTGTTAAATCTCTATTTTCACATCGATTATTTCACATATCCGGATGTTCATGCAATTCGCCTTAAGAAAAAAAACTTCATGTAATTATTTCATATGCTTTTTGAAATTTTAAAATGTAACATTTTCGTGATTTTTTTATACCCTTTGCAGACAATATATTATATTATATTATTATATTATATTGTCTAATATATTATATTGAAACAGCCAACGTTAAACTAAAATTAAACTAAATACTGAAAATTTTCAGGATTTACTGGTAGTTGTAGATTACAACCACCGTAATCAATTCATTTTGATTTCCTATAATTATTTTCTTTTTTATTTGTATTTCTGACTTTATTATTATCTAGAATCAAATCTATTTCACGTAAATAACTCATTTACAATTGATATGGCATCGTGGTACAACTATTGATTCTCTTAATTTGAATTAGTTTTCTTGTATTTAAACACATATAGCAATCATAGCATGATAGCAGCTTAAGATGAGTACTTTTTTATGTTCTGCATAAATAAATATAACATTTATATTAACCTCCATATATTCGCCCGTCTTGCTTCTTTACCAGATCTTGTAAGCGTTCCGTTCTTTGGTGCAATTTTTTAATTTCAATTTTAGCTAGATCCAATTTGGCTTTAAGGTCGTCATTCTGTTGGGAGAGCATCTGAAAATGAATATTGAGAAGTATGTGTAATATTTATAATAAGTAGGATAAAAGTAAATAGGGATGTCTAAACATTTGTATAAATAAGATGGCTCATCAATATCGTTATCTAAAAACGGTTATTTAAATAGATCACTCATCTCACCGTTTTGTATATTTTGTATACAATTGTAGTGTATATTTCAAGATTTGATTGCAAATTTACTAATGAACTTCTATCTTGTTCAAATATGAACATCACAAATAATTTAAAATATATCTTACGAGTATTTATTAATATAATTACAAAGATTCATTGAACACATATGAAGTTATGTTTAATGAATAATAGTGATAAATTGTATTGTAGCTTATACTATTTTTAAATTCTATGACGAATTTAACTTTAATTTCTATTTTAACTAATATCAGCTGTTCTAAACTCATAGTAAAATATGCATTGAGCTAAATATACTTACTGATTTAAAGATTATTGTAAATTAATAAATACATAAATAAAGTTTTTACCTTTGCTCTTGTGTCAATGATCTTATTGACATCAGTGGGAAATGTTGCGTCCGAGTTCAGACTAGTGGGATGGTCTCTTCTCGGCTTTGAAAAGAATATATATATATATATATATATATATATATACATATATATATATATATATATATATATATATATAAATTTATTATCATTGTAATTATCTACTTATTGTCCTCATTTTGTAGCTACTAGCTACTTACATTTTTATTTCATAATCTATCTTTTCATATAGTATTTTATTTGAAAACGGACTTTAATAATATTTATAGAAAAATTGTATTATGAAAATGTTTTAAAAAATAACTAAATCATTGTGACTGTGGAAGTATGTGCTATATAAGTGCGGGTAGCGAACACAAATTATATGTTTGCTTAACCCCACTACAAAACATGTTACATATGTTCATGGGGCATAGTAGTAGTCATTGCAAGTGCTATTCTAACCCGAAACTGATTTCATTTAAATTAAATTGACACATTTGAAGATGCAAAGTTTTGTATATTATTACCGCGCTTTATATTATTTGATTAATTTTTGAATCCGACTCTTTATTTTATATTATGCTGTAGCATGCTTAGAGAAAGATTTACAGTTGTGGCCAGTGCTGGATTTACAGTAGGGGCAATCGGGGCTACTGCCCAGGGCGGCAAATTTTTGGGGGCGGCAAAATTTGAAAACTGAGAAAAAAAAATCTATACAATATAATCAACTTTTTTTTAACAGCATTTTTTATTTCAAGAAATATAATTAACAAAACATAATACGATTGCAATGCAAAATTAGGGTTGAAATAACCGATTATTAAAATTTATTATTTTGCCTTGCCTCCCTCTCCGAACGTAAATTATCAAATTGGTTAATAAGTCATTATCAAATTTGTCAATTTGGCTAATATAAAGATCCGTAAACAAGCTGAAAGTTTAAAAATAATATTTTCTTCAGTTTTCGAGCCTTCTTAAAATGACGAATTTCTGCACTTCCAAGCTTATAGCGTTGAAAAAAAAAAATTAACTAGTGACGCATGGCATTGTGCCTTAAGACAAATTATTGAAACATCCCGTACTGAAAATTACATTTTATAAAGAGCTTTAAAATTGAAAAAAAATTGGAAATGAAAAAAATTGACTTTTAAAACACATTATTTGTATTCTGAAATTTTTTGAAAATTATGAACTTTTTGCAAAGCAATCGCGCTGCGTAGCTGTTTCAGAGAAGAAATATCAAATCTCAATTACCATTTTTCATAATTCGTGCCAAAAACTAATCAGCACGTCTCCCCATCAATACAAATCTAATATTTTTTATTATTCAAGTGAACACGGATCAACCGATTTAAATGATTCAATTCAATTCAATGATTGTTAAGAAGACGTGCTGATTAGTTATTGACCAAGGCAGGTCCAACTGTTTTGAAAATACGGGCCAAAATGCCAAAAATGATAATTTAGTTGTTGAGAAAAGAAGCGTCCAATATCATTCAAAAAAATTTATAGAATAAATAACTGCTTAAATTTGTGGGAGGTAGGTTTAGCGGTTTCGATGATCTAATAAAAAAAATTGAAAAAGAAACATTTCGTGGACAAAAGTGATCATAAGACATATGTACATCAAGTTATCAGATATTTTAAAAATATTTTAATAATAAGTATAAATTTTGTTTAAATTTATATGGATTATGTAACATTGTTTATTCGTTAGACAGCGACGCGGCGCTTACGCGCTCCTATATTTTGTCTCTGCGCAGCTGAAGCAGCGCGATTGCTTTAAAAAAAGTTCGAAAGTTCGTAAAATTTCAGGGATGGGGCGGCATTTTTGTCAGTGCCCCGGGGCGCCAAATTTCTAAATCCGGCTCTGGTTGTGGCATATATTTACATAGTACCTAGTTCAAAAACTGTTATATGTTCAGATTTTAATATTAATTTTTATATTTTTTTTTCTAAAATTGGTCTCTATGCAAACCACTCATAATCTATGTGCTTCCTGTGTGTGGACATCAAAAAATATTTCTACAATGGAATCTTGTAAGTCCTACGATAATTTGACACCATTATCTAATCTCTATTCGCTAAAAATGTTTTAGCAAATAGAGCGGATAAATTTAAGATTTTGGATAAGCTCAAAAAATCTTGGTCGAATTTCAGTTAGAAACGTTCATAAAAAGCTTATAATTGATTTGTTATCAAGCTAGATAGAGAAAAATATGATTGGACTACTATAATAACTATTATGAAATACGAATTTGTGGTAGGTGGTTGAAAATTTAAAGTTGTATGCATTTTTCAAATAAGCATTAAAAAAAAATAAAGAAAATTGGTCCCTCAAAAAAAGCGCGATGAAAAACTAGTCGATTACTAAAGTGAGTTTCACGAAGCAAGGGTTTGTGTCAGGAGGGTGAAAAATTCAGGGCTGGATGTGTTTCTTTAATTTGGAAATACAAAAAAATAAAATTGAAAAAGTTGGTTAAAAAAAACATTGGTGCCTGACAACGTTCCTTAAAGCAAACTGCTAAAATTTTCCGTACCGAAAATTATTTTTTTTAAAAAATCTTAAAAATTTTACTAATTTAAATAATTTGATATAAATAATTAAATTATTTAACATAAATTAAATTTTACTATATATAGCTATACTATAGCTTATTTGTGAAATTTAAAACATATTTGTTGTCATTAAAAATATTTAATACTCTCAGTTTCAAATTTATTTAAAACAAAGAATAAACTAAATTTTAAAAGATCAATTATATATATATATATATATATATATATATTAATTGTTTAATATGAACAAAACAGCACTCAGATTTGTTTAACACAACTTTATTTTATGATTACAGACGTTTCGAGACCATGGTGTGTCTCATCTTCAGTGTAATTTCAAAAACAGTTACTTATATACTAGTATCATAAAATAAAGTTGTGTTAAACAAATCTGAGTGCTGTTTTGTTCATATTAAACAATTAATATTCGTTCCGCTCATATCATAAAATTCTATATATATATATATATATATAATAATAATAATAATATTAATAATAATAATTCAAGGCCATTTTTAATTCGCACGACTTGGTATACCGTTCATTGTTTATATAATCTTGACAGAAGCAAATATTATCATTCATATTAATTTATTTATTATTTTGCGAGCTCCAATTAGAGTTTAAATATGACTACGGTAAAAGCAATACTGATTTCACTTCTATGCGATAAGTAGTGAGTGTGTATTTTCAAATGTGAATTGTTACCTCTGAATCATTTTCAGTTTCTACCATAAATTTGTCATCATAGTCGACTTCATCATCATTTGACATGCTATAGTATTATAATCATATATATTCCAGTTTCTGCATGCATATAAAAATATTGTATTTGTAAAAAATGTAAAAAAAAACTGTGAACGTAGTAATTTTGATTATCTTTTTCCAGGGCGAGTATAGCCCACTAGGATGAATTGTATCTTAATTTTGTTTTCGAAATATTTGTTTTTATACAAACTATCTAGTACGTCAGATATTCATTATCTAGTACGTCATTGACTGACGGCAAACAAATCATCATTGTCAAAAATGAATTTTGTAAATGTTTATTAAATGTAAGATTTAAAAATTTAGAAGTCATTTGAAGAAGCTCGATAAGGGCTCGCAGTCATTAGTTTTAATAGATTATCGGTTGATTCAGTTTTAATAATTTGCAGAAAACTGTAAAATTTATCATCCTCGTTTTCAGAAAAAAAATCTGGGCTGGGTTATTTTTTCGTAATTAATTGTTAATTTTTTATCGGTTTATGGTCTCTACGAGTATTCTTAAATATTTTAGGCATACGAAATGTGTTATAGAAATATTATAAAAACTTATCAAAGATTGGAATGATGGAAAGTGTCAAAATTCGAAAATTTTATCGTTGCAATCTTAAAAATGGCTAAATCATATTGATTAATACGTATTGATTATGTTGATTATTTATGCATATCGGGACGTCTATGCAGCTTGCCTTAAGGCTAAATGCCACTTATACCTTAGTTTATTTTTAATATTACGTTTTGTGCAATTTATTAAATTCATTAAATTGATTTGAATGTACAATTATAATAGAGGATTATAATAAAAATTTATTAGAGTATTTATTTATATTTCTGCATATTAGTTGTTTCCAACGCTACATAAAAAAATTTGGAAACTACGATTAACCTTCGATTGATTCTTAGAATGTATTATGAATGATTGGTAATTTTGTCTTTTATGAGTTTCCTGCAACTATATTTATCTAAAATCTAAAGAATTCTATAAGTGTATTTTAAGAATATTGCTTAATTTTTGATAACGTACAAATAATTATTATTTTTACGCATATATTAGTTACTGTACAATCAATACAATTTTAAAATCTTTTATACCAATCAAAAAGTTCATATAGAAGGAAAGAAAATTATTCTCTTACAATCATTAGTCGTTTAAAATGTGAATATCGAATGCCAATTCTGAACATTGTAAATAATTTCTAAGAATTCTTATTCTACATGCAAATAAATTACGCATGACAACCTAACTAAAACGAATATTTGTCAAGAACATACAGCATGTTTTTCAACTTCAGAAACAAAGACTTTGATGACGTTTATTATGCAAGTTTACCCTGCGTTCATACAACTATTTTTCTCATTGCTTCATCAATTTCTAAAATACATTATAAATATTTTAATTTCGTAATACAATCTGTCTAGATAAGACATTTAGAAAATTGAAATTGCATTTATATTAAAGTAACATTATGAGTAATATAAATATATATATATATATATATATATATATATATATATGTATATATATTTATATAGTATGTGTCGAGTCCAAATAAAAAAAACTAAAGCAGTTAGGAACTTAAATAGAATAATTGTAAGTGGAATTTTTTCTTAAGGCAACTTGCGTGAACTTCTTGATATGTGTAATTAAACGACATAATCAATAAGAATTTATATGTAGCATTTTTTAAAAATTGTCGATACAATTTAGAAATTTTAACTCATTTTAACAATTATTTCAAACTTTCAACAATTTTCACCAAAAACTCATTACCACTATTCCTAATTGATTTTTATTTTTATATGTATGAAAAAATATTTATATATGAATTACATATGAAAAACATGTGATTTTTTTACATGTAACGTATGTAAACCTCAAATGGAAATCTTATTGATTTATTTTGTAATGAAAAAACTAAAATATTTTTGAGACAAACAGTTAACAATTAACAGTTTTATTTATTGGTAAATGTTGCTAGATCTCAATTCTTATTGATTAAGTGATCAAGTAATCAAGTAATATATATATATATATATATATATATATATATATATGTGTGTATGTATATATATATTTATATACGATTTCTTTGCCTCAATTTTTTTATTAAATTTTTAAATGTGTTCAAACAATCAAGTTAGAATTGAAAAATGGTTAATAATTAACTTTATGGAAATGGTACATCCTACTCCTACATCTGCATAATATCTTTCTTTTAATAAATAATAAATTAGTAGTGTATGGCATCGTGCCTTGAGGCAAATTGCTGGAACTTTCCGTAACGTAATTAAATATTTGAGAAATAAAACCAATAAATATTCAATAAAATTGATCAATGAATAACTCTTATTTTAAATAATTTCATATATACAAACATACATTTGAATAATATATACAACATGTATTATCATTGAAAAAAAAGGAATACAACAAATACTATAATGTGTTCATTATTGGGCCGTATTCTACAAACAACATATGTACATGTTTGCAAGAAATATAAAATACACGCATAAACAAAACCTAATCGAGCCAAGATAGAATGAAGGCAACAATACATCTATTTTTTCTAAGGTATGCCAAATGTTTAGAAGGCTTTGTAATGTAAAGATATATAAATATTTTCCCAGAACAACTTTTTTTGAAAGACATTCCATTTTTAAAAGCAAGGTATATTGAAATAAATGCAATATGGTTTCAAGTTGCCCATTGAGACGAATATGTTACATAGTTGCAAATTCTGAGGAGCACGTTCTAACTTCGAAATTGATTCTATTAAGTTTACCGAAACGGTGCAATAGCTATTGTTAATCGAAAGTTATTTGATATATTTTAAACTCATAGGTGTTCAGATTACTTTATAGTTAGAATGCAATCCAATATTGTATTTGTAGCAATGTAATTTTATATGTTGATAAAAGTGTTTCGAAAATATATCAATTATTGCGGAATATAATAGACTTTATTTAATAATTATCTTTGGTCATCTTAATCTTATGGATGTAAGCAATTCGATATTTCGTGGTAAGAACGTGGATTTCTATTCTCTAGTTTCGTGTTCGAACCCAACCTCGACTTGCTTGATAAGAAGCAATATGATATCAAATTTTCTCTTGAGCTTAATGATCTTAAATATAATATAAATTGAAAATTGTCTTGCGAGGACATTGCTACATGGTAATAAAAAGTAAAAAATATATGTTTAGTATATTCAAAAAATGAAGCCAATATGATTATTATGAATGGCATCATATCTGATCTAGATTATGTAATTCAGATCGATTTAATTTAAAATAGAACAAATAAATTTTAAATCTGAAAAAATATGCAACTATTATAGTAATTGAATGAAATATGTCGATAGCTTTTACAAATCGTTGTTCATGATTTTGATGTTAATAATCATTATCGAACACAATATTTCTATATACATTATTAATGATTACATTTAAAATTATAGTAGTTTTTACAAAAGTAAAAATGATATCTGTGATGATAATATCTAATATTGATCGTCATTTTTCCACTGCATGGGGCGCTGACATTGTTTTAATTCGGCCATGAGAGCCAGATTCTGGTTGCCAGATTCGATCATACGCTGCTTCAAAAAACTAACTTGCCCACGTAGCGATGCCACTTCGGCCTTGACATTTCAAAATCGAAATTAGTAATGGGTCATGAATTAAATGTGTAGTTTAGTTATTTTTTGTTTTTACGGTCTTAAGACTCAAAATTTGAATGTGGCTGTCCAAAAATTGTTTACTTTCTCTATCGTCACTAAAGATAAATGGCTCTATATTTATCTACCAACATGTAAATCATTTTTATTTCTATTTAATTTAACCCTTTCGGGACAGTATTCGAAAAATTGTTTGAAAAAACGGTTTTTATAATAATTTTAATGTGTGATATATGTTGAAGTAAAAATCATAAAAAAATAATTTTAAATAATCGGGGTCAGCTGGGGAGGCTGGTAAACCGTTGTACCAGCCGAACTTTTTGTTGGTACACATTTGCTTTGCGATAGTTACAGATTATGAATATTTCTTTTCTATCTCACTATTTATAATATAAATAACAAGCCAAAGAAAAAAAAACATATTTACGATTTTTTAACTACCTCTTATTTGAGATCTTACACATTTATACCAGCGTAAGAGACGCCTGGTACGTATGTGTACCGCTAATCTAATGTAGTAATAAATACAAAATGTTGGAAACATAGTTATATTTGTCTACTTTATCTAGCTTTCTTGCCCATTGTAATCACTCACAATCACAACAATTATTGAATGTAGTCTAATTTTTAACTTCCCGAAGAAGAAGTTTACGTTTCATCAAAAAAAATCCTATTCGCTAATTTTATGTGTTCTCGACGTTTCAAGCCATTCTGAATCGAATGAGACCGAATTTGGAAAAAGTATGTGTGTGTATGTGAACAGATTTTTTGCCGTAAATCCACGTTTTTCCAAAAACGGCTGGACCGATGTCAAAAATTTAAAAGCCATTCGATGTATCTCGATGAGGACTATCGTTTGTCAGTTTTGCGTTACAATCGGCCGAGCCTTTCTTTCTAAATCGCAGAAAAGTGAAAAAATTTTCGTCCACGTTTTAGCCCGCAATTCTGAATCGATTATGAAAATTCAAAAACCGTTCGAAAGATATTGGTTGGGAATCGTGCTGATTAGTTTTTGGTAGAGTTTTCTTGTAATAAAGTGTTAAAACAATTTTTTTCGACGATTTTTATTATTATTTTTTGACCATAGATACCATAGTCTTTTAGATCATACTAAAATATTACGGCCTTACGACAACTTGTTGCAACATGGTCTGAGCGGATAAAAAACAAAACGCGATTGGTTCCAAAATAAATGCTGTTTTACGGGTCATATGTATTTTATCTCACAGCTAAACACTTACATTTCGTCGTGGTATAAATTGCATTGCTTTCATACATAAATTCAACTGTACAGAAATTTTCAAACTTTGTGGTACACATATGTACCGC